ATACCCCCAAAGTCCAAGCTCATGAAACAGGCAATTATGATTGCTTCGTTTTTGGTTGCTGGTTATAACAGTCACTGGGGTTGAGGTCGGCGTATGTGCTCTTGGATCTGATGTTCTCGCATAGGTTTTGACGAAACTCTGGCATACTCAAGGTGCTGTTGATCCCCAATGGCGATCTCGGTGTCTAGTGGAATGGGACGATGGTCTGGAAGCCAGCACGACAGTCCAGGCGTTGCAGTTCACAGGGGCATTAGACAGGGGCGGTCCCAGAACACTCAGGCAAGCTGCTGTCAGTAATTTTCCGAAAGTTAGTTAAGATTGGGGTTTGTTAGCTGCCAAATCATTAGCGAGTGGACGCTTGGTGCGGCAAATCAAGGCCTGCATCATTGCCAAACTGATTTGTCCGTCACAATTGGATCTGGCACCAAAATGCATGACTCGGTTAGGCTGGGCAGAACTTCGTACAGGATCAAGGGCTGATTTTAAGGCCTGTGGCCCGAGAACAAATCCTAAGGAACAGAAACCAGCCAGAGGTTCTCAACAACTAGGCAACATGTGCACGTCACGTGCATAGCTTGAAAGTTAGTCGATTGAGAGACTGTCTGGTTTATGAGCTCGATTCTCGTTCAACCTGTCGAGCTCCGCAAGCGAAAATACACACGACGACTATATGAACCTAGCAAGAGGGTTTCTAGGAAAGTCAGACCAAATTTTCTTCAGCGACAATTTCTGGGGGACTACCTCACGACAAAGCCTTTTAGTAACAGCCTTGCTTGTCATCAACCGTGGCAACACAAAATATTGATTGAATATGTCTTCCTGCCTTCACGAAAAGCTCGAAGGTAGGTTAATGGTCAAGACTTTGATGGGCAAGGCATTGAATAACGTTACAACACCTCATCATTACGAGGATAACGTTGTCGTCCGCAAACTCCGCAACTTACTAAGTTATACGACTTTTCTTCGTTCAGTAGGATATAAGGCTCATAGTTCTTCTGATCTGGTTACCGTTCTCAAAACTGCCACAAGTTACGATTACACTCATCATAACCTCGGCATTCAGCAATCGACTGCTCTCCTCATCGAATTCAACATGAAGGAAGCTTTTGTAGACTGTAACACCCATGTTCGGCTTATTGAGTCGCCTGTACCGACTCCTGGTCCAGGCCAAGTCCGCATCAAAGTGGTTGTGGCTGGAAGCAATCCTAAAGATTGGTAAGGCATCCCGGAATCCGTGGCTCTTGTAAGAGAAACTTTCATTGATGACCATGAAAATAGGAAAATCCCCGTTTACCATGGCAGTACACCGATGAATACTGGCGATGATGTTGCCGGATATATTGACGCTGTTGGTCCTGATGTTACTGAGTTTAAGACCAGTGATCGAGTTGCTTCAATGCATCAACCTGGAGCACCCCAGGGCGCCTATGCAGAGTACTCGATTAGCGGGGTGGAGACCACCTTCCACATCCCCTCAAAACCAGCTTTGAGGAAGCTGCGACGATTCCATTGGCTGCATTGACGGCAGCCGCGCTCGTCTTTCGTGGACTCAAGGTTCCTGAACCTTGGGCATTGAACGATAAACCTCAACCACAGCCACTGGTCGTGAGGGGCGGCGCCTCTGCTGTTGGAGGTTTTGCAAATTGCAATCCAGTACGCCAAACGGGCCGGGTTTCAGCCTATCATAGCTGTTGCTGGCCGCGGTATGGAACAGACCCGAAGTCTTCTAGACGAAAGATCTGGAGACGCAGTACTTGACTATCGGGCCGGAGGGCAATCCGTTACACACAGTATCCGTGGTCTATTAAAAGGAGCTCCCCTACGGTATGCCTTGGACGCTGTCTGCCAAGAAGACAGCTCCCAGACTCTGGCAGAGCTTTTACAACCCTCCTTGGCCGGAGAAGCACCATCGAGGTTGATAATTGCTGTACCCTTGATGGAAAACCAACCAGATAAGAAGGGTCAGATTGTGCCTTTCAACATGCCGCTTGGGACGGATGCAGCTTTCCTTCCGGTAAGCTTCATCTATGAAAGCGACACTGGCCGTGATTTTGGCTTCGTGCATGCTAGGTACTTGGGCAAAGGTCTGCAGGATGGCTGGCTGAAGCCCCATCCGCACAAGGTTGTGCCAGGCGGCCTTGCTAGAATTGAGAGCGGGCTGAAAGATCTTCGGGAGGGAAAGGCCAGCGGAACGAAATTTGTGTATAGAATTGGCGAGACATCTGGTCTTTAAAGTCTTACGAGAATGGCTTCAAGGGTTCTTTTACACGGCTTTTTCGGCTTTTCTCCACAGAATCAGAGCAGAAAGCATGTAAACTAGGTCAACGACACCGGATCGAGCTCCGGTGTCCCCCTTTCTATCTATCTTGTTTGGATCCCCTGTATCCGTCTTTGATTTTGCGCACGGTTTACTCGAGTAGCCGCTTTTCTCAGAACAGACGTTGTAGTTCACTCAATCTTCTCTTCTTCTAACGGCACGAATCGCAGAAGGCACTTTTGTCCAAGGGGGCGAGCGGAGATAACTTGGTCGTGAGACCTCATGCTTTCGACCGTCATAGAGATGTCCGGAACGGTGGTGAATTGGCCATAAATATCCCTCAGTAATAACTTCATCTCAGCAAGAGCAAGACTAAAGATAAATCAACATTAGTCTAGGTACATCCCCGTCAAACGAGATGGTCTACTTACTGCTTGCCAACGCAACCTCTGCCGCCATGCGAGAATGCAAACATGTGTCGCTTTCTCTCAGCTTCGCCAGTAGGAGACATCCACCTCTCCGGGTTGAAGATGTCTGGATTCGGGAAGACGGCGTCGTTGTTTCGGTGGACCGAGTAGGCCTGGCTGCTGACGATGCTACCCTCGGGTACGAAGAAGCCATCAATCTGCTTACCACCATGGGGCACTACTCGGGGCAGAGACATCGGAATAGCCGGAAAGCATCTAAGTCCTTCCTGCACTACGGCGTCAAGGTATGACAGCTTGTCGAAAGAAATGTCGGGATTCTGTCGAATCTCGTTCTGGAGCTTCTTCTGGAACTCGAGGGACGATGGCTGTGAAAGCTCCCACATGAGAAAGCATAACGAATCTCCTGTCGTGTCGATACCGGCGACCATGTGATCCATGGATTCCGCTGCAATGTCCGTACTATCAAGCTGGTTGACGCTGCTGCTGCTCTCAGTCTTGTCTTGGAGGCGGTTCAAGAGAGTGAACGGTGCGGGATCGATCTTCGAGGTGGCGCCAATGACGAAGTTCTGAGCCAAAGGTGTGGTGCGCGGATCAAGAAAAAGATCCAGAAGCTTCGAGAAGTATTGATAGAAGACAGGATAGTGGTGCTGGACAAGACGACCTGGTCTATCAGCATCAAAGCCGAGAGACAACTCGGGATAGGCTTACTTCGGAGGCTGTCGTCGCTGGTAACCTGATGCATCATGTCCAAATCTTCTTTCTTCTGAAGACTGTTGGTTCCATAGGGATGAAACAGGTGATGGGTTATACAGTCACATGCATAAGCATGGAGGGACATCTAAAAAGGGTTAAGAAGCCATTCAGAACGGTTGGCACAAAATGATGGTGACACTCACGTAAACATCCATGCTGGTTTTGGTATGTTCGCCACACTGCCTGACAAATTCCTTGGCTCGCTTCTCGATGCCGCTGAGCGCCGTAGACTTTACGACATTGCTGTTCGCGTAGCGATCAGCGATGATGCGCTTGCGCTTTGCATGCTATGTCGGAGCTGTTAGCGAGAATCATCGAAACGAGCTGGTACACTAACATCGCCCTTTTCCAGGGTCGAGAACATGGTCCTGCACAAAATGAATCAGCTCGGAGTACTCGTTGGTCAGCTAGCAGCATCGGCACATACCTGCGCTTGAAAACCCGGAACAAATTGTAGAAGCTGGACTTGTCGTAGCCGCTTCCAAGAGACCCATAGATCTCCTTGACAGCCTCATATGATGTGAACGACACCTCATTGGGGGCGATGCGAACGACCGGGCCGTACTTCAGATGCAGAGAGTGGACATATAGCGTCCTCGTTGCATTGAACTCATTCCACCTAAGGGCAAGAGGCGTAATTCTGGACCAGAATGGTCCGGGAAGCTTCCATAATGGTGATGCGATGCAACGAGCTAAGTAAAACACGACCAAGGCCGCGAAGGCAATCGACACAAAAAGAGGGCTGAACAGCATGTTGTGCTTGTTTGACTTGACGCCAGTTGAGTCGAAAGGGCTAGATCATCACAGCTACTGGGGGCGGAGAGGGGTACATATACCCAACATCCCCGCGAGGTCGAACGCCTGGTAAAAACGGGGCAGATAAGCCGGAGCTGATGAGACAAATCAAAATCTCTTTGGAAAAGCTGTCAATGATTCGTTTTGAGTCATGGTTCGTTTACCCCTCTGAATTTGTTGAATCTCTTCCCCTAATGTTAAGAATTGGCGAATTCCGGTTGCTGGGCTTGAAAGCAAACTAACCCATCGTCGGAACGGCCCCGCAGTTGATCGCTAATGTTAAGAAGACCCGACGATACGGATCTGCCGAGTTCACCGATTGTCACAGTTCCCCTAATGTTAAGCGCAGCCGCAGGCCCACCTCCGAGTGTCTCCACTCCGGGAAAGCCAACCTCCGGTTTGCTGTTTGAAATCAGGGCTTATCATTTGGTCTAGCCCTCTTTCAGTAAAAACTGCGCACGGCGCGCAGTGTCGTAGACGAATAGATCGCATGCTAGCTCGGGGATAACTCGGGACGCAAGCAAGCGCATGTTGAAAAGCATCAACAGTTGTCAACCGTTGATTGTGACTCAATGACTCACGCACTTAGTCGGCTACCTCTGTAATCAGATGGAGCTTAAGTAGACATAAGGACCACCAGTTCGCGTACTTATTACAAAATATTAGAATCCCAAACATACTTAAGGAAGTGAAATTGAAGTTAGAAGCCGCTATTGAAATCAACTTTGAAAACGAAGACTTTTTGAACCCTCATATTGAGCAACTTCTTACTTCTCCTCATGGGCATTAGTCTTTTGTCTCCAAAACCCCGGCGATCTCTTCAAACCCAACTCTTCGTAGACCACGGACGGGTACATGAACATATGATCCTCGTCCCATTCGTTATACCATTCATTGAGATTGTTGTAGTGTTGAATATAACTAGATGCGCGGACATACATCCAATTCCAACCATTTGGCCCTTCGTCGTGATCGATCATCCAGCCATCCTCATAATCTGGATGCAAATCGTCGCCTTCTTTGAAATGAACAGGTTGCCACTCTCTCTTGAGCAGAAGGGCCAAGGGACCGGTGTGTTTGCGTGTCTCGTCGACGGACTGTAAGCAGACGTCATCGATCACTATGCACACGTTATATCGAGCGCCATAAAACATCATCTGCTTCGGACTTGGCGGTCCTCCATCGAAAATTCCCACCTCTGGTGTTTCTGGCCTCTCTTTCCAGTTCTTTGCCAGTTCCTGTCTAGCCCAGGTGTCGAATTGGACCTTCACTTCGACTGGACTGGCGCTATCGAGTCTTTGCTTATCTTCAATGAAAGTAACCTGATGACGGTTGCGTAGAGTCCGTCGAACATGGTGAAGTGGGTGACCGAGGGTGTCTTGTATGCATGTTTCGATGTGCTGTCGCATTTGGCGCCATGAGATTTCATTGCTGTAACAGGTGCGGTACACAGCAAATCCCCATGGTGCATTAGGCTTGAGCTCATCGTTTCCTATCTCGTAGCATATTGAGTCGTAAGTTTCGACTTCGTTTCCTAGCATTGCTGCGAACTCTACCCAGTTATTCGGCAATTTGTTGGTTTCTTTGACCGGATATCGTGTGCAAAAGTTTACGGAACGTAAACGAGGGGTTTGATAACTAGCAGCGAGCCACGCTGGCAAGGCTGCTTTTGCTTGAGCGTAGCGGTAATTTGGCTTGAATAGCATCTTCCATGTTCGTGAACTGACGGGCATGTGAATGAGAGACATCTACCGATTGTGCTACAGTTTGTGATGTTGATGTCTTGATGAGCTCGATGAGAACTTGGAACGTTGTTGGCTAGAAAGCTGATATTGGTGGCCCGTGCATCATCCCTGAGTCCGATCACAGCAGTCGACGCACGGTTCCAGGTCCTCGGTATGGCAACCCGGATCTCTGGGCCAACACCATTCCTGATCCCTCAACTATCTTCCCCCAAGGTGTCTGTTGGCAACGGGCGCTACGCATATCTCACACTTCGACTGTGAAGCACAGAAGAATTCCATTGGCGTCCCGGGATTAGATGAGATTATCAACCTCCTCAATGACATGGCCAAAGTCGCCCTTGGCTGGCCATGATAACCAGAGTGTTCGCGGGATGGTAGTTTCAAAACTTTGCATTTCACTCATCATTCGCATCGAACAAGCTTCAAAGCGCACCGCAGCGCCGGGCCAGACCGAAGTCTGCCATGGCCATTCCACGTGGGCACGGGGAGATTACGGGTATCTATCCCGTTAAATCGCACCATTGACTTTATATTCCGCACCGACGCATCCGAATGTTACCGCCGAGCTTATCGGGTCAGATAGAACGTGAAGAGACGGACATCGCAGAGCCCGGGTCGCCGCGCCGATGCCGGCATGCCGTAATCTGCCATGGAATTTGACTCCTGCGTCCACCCGGGAAACAAGGGAATGAGACCAGCTGGTTTTAATGTTTTGCTAGAAAACCTTACAATGGTCCGGTCTCTGGGTGCGGAAATCCCGGCCGAGGACGGAAAATCTCGCCTTGGGTGAGGGTCCGGACTCGGGCCCCGGACGTATCATGTTGGACGATTAATTGCACCATAGAACCTTGACATGCCACACCCCTGTCGTGACATTCCGATTGATACGAGAGCCACGCAAATAATGTATGTTTATTAGGGGTAACAAGTCTTAAAGAACGAAGTGTTGCCTTTCAGTATTCTGGTAGACCGAACCCGACAATTTGGTACGTGAGAGACGATAGTGATTGATGGGATAACGATGGCGTCGTTACCTCTGGAACTCATCGAGCATATTTGCTCTCTCTTGTGTCCTCATTGTCAACACCCTGGCATCATTTCCGACATTGTTACAGAAGACACGCGTTCGTCGCAAAAGGCCCTGGCCCACCTGTGTCGAGTTTCGAGGCGCGTCTGTGCCGTGGCACAGCCATTCCTTTTTCATCAATACTACACAGGCAATCTACCGGCGGAAAACGACTGCGGACTGAGAGGGCACGCACGGTGTTTACCCCGCGAAGACGACAAGTTACCGGCGTTTCTTCACAGTATCATCAGCCGACCAGATCTATCCTTCCACGTTAAAACACTTCAGATCGTGGAGACGGACAAAATTAGCGGGCTGACGCCGGATCTGAGCCTTTTGATCTTCACAGCGAGCCAAAAGGTCAGAGCCTCACATCATGCTCCAACACAAGAACATCTGAGAACCCAAATTTGGCGAGAGTCGAGACAGCCAGAAGCGTTACAGAGGATCAACCGGCGAAAGGTGCACCACTGGCTGGAAGAGCTCGCCATTCTGTTAACGCCCAACGTTGAGATGGTCTCGATTGCTCGGGACAGCTTTTGCCAGTATCAACATATCAAAGACAGCGGGGCTTTATTGCCATCACTCAAGCTCATAACTCTCCGAGGAGTCACGAGAAATCAGCACGTACACGAAGCGGCCGCCCTTTTCAAGGCCGCACCCAATCTCAAGGTCCTCAATTCCATGCAATGCAGTCTCTTTGACGGTCTGAGTCCATGGAATATGAGCAAGCCATGGACATTATCGCTGGGCAGTCTTGAGAGGCTGGTGTTAAACGAGATCGGGTTCGAAGACCTTGCTCTGCTCCTAGCCTGCTGCCCAGAACTACGGGAGCTGGAACTGACGGCTGTCAACATTCATCGGACGGCGGGTGTCGACTACTGGGATGTCTCCAAAGTGTTGCAAACTTTGGTTCCCGTGCGACATCAACTTCGGAAGCTCCGCCTCACCCATTCCCCGAGCCAACGGTCTGGCGCGGAACAGAGACAGTGGACGGATGAGACATCCCTGTCGTTTCGAGACTTTGTCCAGCTTGAAGAGTTGGCTTTCGACCAGACCATGCTCGAGTACCACACGAGGCCTACGGCTTTTGACGATGAGATACCCCTGGGGTACACCGTATCCGATATGTTGCCGACATCACTGCAAAAGCTACAGCTTTTGCACGTCAAGAAAGAATCTCTGAAGGATCTGAAGCACCTTGCCGGAAATGCCAGCTATCGATTGCCGTCTTTGAAACTCATTCAAATCAGTTTCGCAGACGGCATAGACAAGAGAGATGTCGGGTACAAACGCATAGATGACATCACCGTGGCGCTGCAATCGGCTGGCATGAGCGTGCTCTGGGACACAAACCATGTCAGCGAAAAGCCATTAGAACCTATTCCAGGTGGCGTAACTGCACTTACGTCGATCCAAGTATCTTTAGCAACGGCGGGTATCGATAAATTAGCCTTGTGATGGTCCAATGGAAACTTCTTGGGTAGTGTAGGTAGTCCCAAATAATCCGGAGGACGAAGTTTACCGTATGATTTGGTCAACAGAATACAGGCCATGATGTCAGTGAAGACACTTTGAAAAATATCTTCACTGATCGGTTACCGCCAGATTCACCCTTGTCTGGTCACACCACGGAGCGCCGGAAAGGGTCCCAGACGCAAATGCGTCGATGTCCCAGAACCTTGAGGTCGGTATCAATTTGATGCAGCTTGCACAGATCTAATCGGGCCGGAAAGCACAGTACTCTTCACCTCGAGATTGGTATAGAAACTGTGCAATCACATATTCAGTATTCCATCTTGCCCCTTGTCGACGCCGCAACTGAGAGGGCGCTGAGATCTCGCGAGGCAAACTATGATGGAGGAGTTACAAGAGGCGACTGAACGTTCCACGCACATATCCAGGTGTAACGGACATTGCCAGTTCGGGCCATTTGTTTGCTTAAATTGCGTAGGAAACATCATTGGACATGTAACCAGCCGTGCCGAATGTGTCTCACCAGTCACCCGCCGGACATGCCCATAATGAGCGAGCCGAGCTATGGAACTGTCTTGTCGTCGGATATATTGTTCGATTCTTGTCTTAGATCCGCGCCATCAACAGAATGCAGCCGTGATCCAGCAGTTTTGACACATGCGCATGGCGTTTCAACCGCATAGAACAGCCGCCCCTTTCGAAACGGTCTCAAGACTTCGTTACTCAGCATGTTGTCAACGGTGTTGTGAATGGGGGGACAAGCAGAGCTAGTGCTGAATAGGGTCGTGAGAGCGAGGGGCAAGCGTCAATTGAGAGACGTTAGTTGTTCTGGATCATTCCAGACGACGCCATTGGCTGCTAGCTTCCCGAGACATTCTGACCTTTCTATAATGCTGGTGTGCCAGGGACGCCAATGGCGCTGCCTCAGTTGGCGTCATGGTGGTGGTTGAAGCAATCGTGTCTGGTGGAAGCGCCGGAGGGCCACTGCAGAATCATAACCTACTGGGTGAGATTCAGGCGGCAGTGAGACGGCGTAAAGACTCGTGGCATAGAGCAGGGCAGGTTTCAAGTTGCACCTGTCCCAACGCGGTTGCGACGCAAACACTGAGGCAGCCGCTCCTGGGTCTGCGGGGGAGACTGTCTCGAGCTTGTCAATCCCAGCACCCGAGTGAGCAATAAGCACTCCAAAGCTACTGCACAGTTTACCGTCAATGATTACACTGCATTACTTGATACATGCCTCAGGCGTGAACTGATGAAACTGTAACGCAGTCCACGATCTGTGAGTTCCATCAGGGCATGCGCCGCAGGCGTCGCCGTCATCTTGCCACGTGTAAACCATGAATTTTTACTGTTCAACTGGGACTCAGAATCAATCAAAGGGGCTTAATCCTCTATGTTTGACTTCTTCATTTGGGTAGAATAAGCTATAACACTCCGTGATCTCAAGGACTATATCAGCAACTTCACCAATGCTTGGATGTAGTGTGTGATATGGGAGAGTGAGCTTGCCGCTTGATGGTTCATAGTGGAATGCAGCCTTGACATTGAATAGAAAGAAAAAGGAGCTTGTGATACAAACAGTCTTACATTGAGAAACAATACGACCCGAGGTGGTGTCCCAGGCTGACAGGGGTATTGAGATGGTACTTGTGTCCATGTAATACAGCGACCACAGTGCTGGAATCTATTCATCTGTTGGATGGTCTTCGACATCGAGTCTTTGGTGCAACAAGATCTTGCAAGTATTGAGAAACTCTGTCCACGAGTGTGCAGGCCCCGCTGGTGTCTGCCACCCTCACCGCCGGGACAGGTTCCGGACTGCTCTCTAACTTGGGTCTGGTTGACACAAGGTGAGTGGGCTGGTGCAAATACTACCTAATTTACAATGGCATGCGCGGTAGCAATGAAGGTGAAATACTTTTGGGATTCTTAGAGCGAAGCACGGATAACTGTAGGGAAATAAACTTCAAAAAGCACGTTGTCCAAGCACGAGTCTCGGCGAAAACCCCGAACCAAGGTAAGGGAATGAGCAAGCCGGAGCATATTGATCTTTGTCTTGGGTGGAAGACCCGAGAGTGGTCGAAAGTGCCGGATGAGAGACAGAAGACCTGATGGCCCTGGCGAGGAAGGTCGCTGTGTGAGGGGGTAGTAGAGGGTAACTTGAAATCACCGACGGTTCCCCCGAAGGAAGGTTACGTACCGGTTTTTTTTAATGGCACTCGATGTCGCGTTTTTGATAAATTCCAGAAACGTGTCATATGTCGTGAAAGCTGTCGTTAATACTGACATTGAAAGATCGGCAATCCATCTCGATCCTATCATCGCCTGCATTCTTCAGCGCTAGTGCAGAGAGATGCATAATTGCCGCGTTTGTTTTGGAAAGATCTCAGACTAACTGATTGCAGCATCGTGCAGGAGTAGGCCCCTGGTGGGCTTGTCCGTGTAACCCCACGATTTCCCCCCCTCCCCTAGCTCGACAATGTCTCTTACCCTGAGCCGTTTCTCACGTATTTTCTCCCTTCCAATCCTGTCTGTTCCCGTGTGACCCATTTGACAGCATGGCTTGGGCATTACCAAGGGCCCGTCAATGACGAGATGCTGATTGCTTCGAAGGACTGACAGCTGGCAGCGTTCTCCTAGCATGTATGTTCGATCAGGCAACATCAAGCTTGGCTTCGTCAACCCATTTCCAACAGAAATCAATCTTCTGGACTAGAAATTTTAGCTGACGCCAAGTATCGGTTCCTGAGGTCAAGCGGTTCAGTACATAACCAGCCACAATATCCGCAGTGACGGATAACAGGCGACCACTATTGTGTGTAGGCGAGACTATCCAGACACGCGAGACAACGGCTGCCACCACCCATACTTCCATGCCCCGAGCCACTGGCTGTCTTGTGAGACTTCGACGAGCCTGCACTTTGCTACCCCCTACCCTCCTCCTCCTCCTCCAGCAGAGCAGGGATCAGCTCGGTCATCTTCGACCCTTGACAGAATCGCGAGGGGCGAAGTAGAGACCCAAGCAACCGAATGTCTCGGAGACCTGCGGGCTCATATTGCCCAGCACAACTGCCGACATTCGCTTCCGACTCCAAGACCCAGGTCCTCGGCAACATCTTAACTAGAACTATGGAATTAAGAATGGCGGATGCATCTACTTCTGCTATATAGCACGTCTATGTCCCGCTCATTCCCAGGCAATCATCAACACGCTGAGAAGGTTGTCACGTTCCCCCTCCTTTCCGCTTCCCGGCCTGTGTTACAACTCATCCCGGAACTCTTGCAACCCTACAACTGGAGCTCGACGGCCAAGAACACCCATCTTTCTAGTATTTTTGACCCCAAGGACCCCTCGATGTCGCCCATCATGGAGTCGCAATCATTCCCCAGCTCCCGGGCATCCACCCTGGCCCCAAGTAACGGTAGCATCTCCGATATGGAAAAGGAATCAGGCACTTCAAGCGCCGCAGCCTCAATTCAAGATCACAAGATTGAGCACATGACTCTACCTAAGACGACAGCAGCAGATTCCTCCTTAGATTCAACCTCCCTTAGCAGAAGTACCAAATCAAGCGACGAAGAAATACCCGATTACCCGACGGGAATGAAACTTGGGTTGATAGTCTTGGCACTCTGCCTCAGTGTCTTCGTCATGGCCCTAGGTAAGTGATCTATGACCCAGGTCAGAAGATGAATTCGCTGAACAAGAACATCAGATAACTCAATCATCGCGACTGCGATTCCGCGTATAACCGATGAATTCAACAGTTTGAACGACGTGGGTTGGTACGGAAGTGCATATCTCCTGACGACGGCTTCCTTCATGCTGCTCTTTGGCAAGCTGTTCACTTTCTTCAGCATCAAATGGTTTTATCTCCTGGCCATCGCCCTCTTCGAGCTCGGTAGTCTAATATGTGGCACCGCTCCCAGCAGTATTGCGCTGATTGTTGGTCGCGCTATTGCTGGGATTGGGGGAGCTGGCATTTATGTCGGATCGCTTATTATTCTTACGTACAGCGTGCCACTGGAGAAGCGCCCGATTTACACGAGTTTTGTCAGTAGCATGTGGGGGATCTCCAACGTTGCTGGGCCTCTCCTCGGTGGTCTGTTTACCGATAGCTTGTCATGGCGTTGGTGCTTTCTCGTGAATTTGCCCGTCGTAAGTATCTTCTATCCAGATGCGAATGATCTCTGCTGATAAGAAGAAGGGTGCCGTCACTGTTCTGGTGATCCTCGTTTTCTTCCCCGACCCTGTCCGAAAGGTCGCAAAAGAAGGCTGGCGGACGCGTTTGATTCAGATGGATCCTATCGGCAACCTTCTCTTCATGCCGGCTATCATCTGTCTCCTACTTGCCTTGCACTGGGGCGGCGTTACGTACTCCTGGAAGTCATCACGGATCATTGCCCTTCTATTCGTCTTCGGCACGGCAATGGCATCTTTCATCTACATCCAATATCGCAATCAAGACAACGCCACGGTTCCTCCCCGCATCTTTCGGAAACGCAGCGTCTGGTCTTCGGCTTTCTATGCCTTCAACCTGGGTGCTGCTTTTCTTCTGTCCGTTTACTTCCTACCCATCTGGTTCCAGTCGGTTAAAGGCGCTTCTGCAGTCAACTCTGGCGTCATGAATCTCCCAATGCTTGGTGGAGTCGTTATCTTCTCCTTAGTCGCCGGAGCTCTTGTCACTCTATGGGGCTACTACACCCCGTGGATGATACTCGGTTCAATGCTCATGGCTATCGGCTATGGTTTGATCTCAACATTCAGGCCAGATACTCCCGCGGGCCTCTGGATCGGCTTTCAAATCATCGCAGGTACCGGCGTAGGCTTCGGCATGCAGCAGCCCCTGATGGCGGTCCAGGTTGTCCTCGATGCGGCCGATGTACCAACGGGGACTGCGATCATCATCTTCTCACAGACGATCGGCGGAGCTATTTTCGTCGCTATCGGTCAGATGGCATTTACCAATAAGCTCGTTGACAGTGTTCGAGAACACGTTCCAGGCATTGATCCGGCTACGGTCATCGCCTCAGGAGTGACGGCTGTACGGGAGAATCTTACCCCAGAGCTTCTACATGGGATAGCCTATGCTTACAGTGATGCACTGGCACAGGCATTTCTCGTTAGTGCCGTGACGGCGTCATTTACCATAGTGGGAGCATTGTTCGTGGAGTGGAAAAGTGTGAAGGGCAAGGATGTACGAGCAAGCATCGCATGATAAGAGGACGGCTTTTATACTGTCTGCCGGCGGCATTAGAGTGGAGGTTATACATATGCAGAAAGGCGTTGTGGATATTTGCTTTTATGGTAAGGCTGGACTGGCTTTAGGAGGTAGCTTCATTCAAATGCAACAGATCAAGATCGTCCCGTAAGCTGACGCCTACCCCCACGTGGCCATGTAAGCACTACATGCATGTCATGTCTGCAGTCTTAAATCTGACCAAGAGCCTCAATTTTAGATGCGGAGCCGCATATTAACAACTTTAAAAAACGATTTAGTTGCCATCCGCGATGCGAATGACCATCTTCTTTGCCCTGACCGTTCCCTCCTTCAGGCCCTTCAACGCCCCTGCAATTCCTTCGAGTCCGTTGACAACCTCATACGGGTGCGCCCTCATCCAACCAGACCTCAACCCTTCAGCAAACACCCTCGCCCAAATCAAGCCGAACAGCCGCCCCTGGCCTTCCTCTTCATGCACATGTCCGACGCTCGTGACAACAACCTCAACGCTCTTGTCGATCGCACCGTAGTCCCTTCCTGGCAAAACCGTAGTGACCCTCGGCTTGAATCCGGTACCCTCCTCTGGGGGTCCCTGGATAGCCTTTCCGAGCATCTCAAAGGAGCCATTCTCGCTCACGCAATCGAAAGCCTTGTAGCATCTTACTCCCGTCTTCTCAATAACTTCCTTCAACTTCTCCGCCAACTTATCCTGGCTCTCAAATTGGGTGTAGTCCAAGAACACATCACCCGCCCCCTCATCAAGTAGCCCGGTCACAAATTTGCTGTTCTTGCTGCCCACGGCAATGAGCGGGTGCACCCCAGCCTTCTTGGCAAGCTTCACACCGAAAGCTCCTATGGCAGAGCTGACGCCGTAGATGATGAGAGGGCTCTTCTTCTCACGGCTGCGATCCCAGGGCGAAGGCACCTCAAGCGAGTGGAACAGCGCGGTCGCGGCCGTGTACGCGGCCAATGGCACCGTCGCAGCCTCCTCGAAGGTGATGCTCTTGGGCACGTGGAAGGCAGCGAAGGCCGGGACAATGGCATACTCCGCGAAGCTGCCGTGCTCGGTGCGCATTACGTGGAAGCCGGCGACGCGGTCGCCCTTTGCGAATTCGTAAACTTCGGAGCCGACCTTCTCGATTACGCCCGCGACGTCATCGCCTGAGTTGTGGGAAGTGCCGACCCAGGCGGGAAGCTTCCAGTCCTTCGGGTTGGTGCCTGATACTTGTCAGTGACTATTGTCCTAGGCCATGAGTTGCGTGTGAGAAGTACCTGAAACAATGACCTTGATGAGGAGTTCACCCGGTCCCGGCTCCGGAACGGGCGAGTCCTTGATGTCGACGGTGATGTCTGGGTTGACGATAGCTTCCTTCATTTTGAATATGGTGGTTAGTTGATTTTTTAAATTGGAAAATGCCCGGATTCAAGTTTTTAAATGAACTTGAGGTCTGATAACGTTATGATAGTTAAACACAAAGTCGACGTTGACGGAGTGACGTCAAGACTTGCCGGGATCCAGACCAAGACCCTTCTTTATACTTCTATACAGAAAATGCGGTTCCATTGTTCTCCACGGACCAGCGCACACTCTAAACCGTCTCAAGATCTTCTAAACCTATTCTCTTCCAATCAACTCCTTCCAAAACACTTATCGCCTCGGCGAATAGACAAGAGGCCCGGGCAACCCGTTCATCAGGCCCCACCGCATTTCACCATGCCGGGCCCCGCCCCGCGGTGAGCACCATCACTTCAGATGAGGGGGGAAAACATCAAGCGGATTACAAATCCAGAACCCATGTCTACTCTCAAAGACGGCCGAATATTGGTAAACTCCGCAAGCGAAACTCCGCGATGTGGGACCATGAATCCGAGGTGCATGCCGTGGTAGGCCTAGACCGGGTGCCACTGGAGCCTGCATGCCGGGACCCGGGACGGACCGTGATGTCTTGCTGCAGACAAGAATCGGGTCTTGGATCTGTAGAAATCCTCGGTTTAGCGACTGATCTTCACCGGGCATCTATGTCCGAGGGATCCGGCTGGCGACACTTTCAATGTTGATTCGTATTCGGGCCCGAGTTCATTCTTGCAATAGGTTGAACGGCCTCTGTTCAACTCATCGCAGTCTCTAGGTATGACTTTGGAAGAAGTCCACATAGTCAAAGAAACTCCTCTTGATCCATCTCCCCAACTCCGGGTCGCTCCTGTTCACCCCCATCATGCCATACTGCTGCTCGAAGCTCCCAAACTCATTGTTATCAATCCAACTCCACGCCAATGCCCCAATCACATTTACTCCGTCCTCGTGCACAGCTCTCAAGGTCTCCGTGAGGAAGTTCTGATAGTACATCGTTCTCTCAAAGTCGTACCTCTGCGCGTCCACCGGCGTCTCTGTGTCTGCATACTGCGGGAACCCGAACTCCGTGACCATGATACCAGAGGGCTTGAACGTGTTCCACACGTATCCGAACTGCTCTCGCACATACGAGGGCGCGATGATGGCACCGCCCTCGGATACGGCGCCCATCTTCCAGCCATTGGCCTGTGTCGTGCTCAGCTCCACGCACGAGGGCCACAACGGGTCGGAGGAGTTTGAAGCGCAGGCGTCGTAGCTCCCGGCGGGATCCGTGGCGTACTGCGCTCCGTATGGGTCAAATGCCCAGAAGTCCATTGTGCCGTTGATGGTGGCGATCTGCTCGTCGGTCAGAGCAGTCAGCGTGATACCCGGCGTTCCCAAGACGGTTTCGGGGAACTGCTTTCCGAGGAACAGCGGGTTCGACATCACGCCGAGGATGAAGTCCTGATATCGATAGGCGGCCTTCACATCAGCCTCGCTGCCGGGGTTGAGGGGCACGGCGAGGTTGTTCGCGAACTTCATCGTCAACTTCCCCGTTCCGCCCAGAGTGTCTTTGTACCAATGGAAGACCTCCGCATGCGCTAGCAGGAACGCTGTCAACCCGTTGTAGTTGTTGCCGAGGTAGAACTGGACCGCAATGTTGGGCTCGTTGAACGTAACCCAGTACGGGACTCGGTCAGCATAACGCGCCAGGACCTGCTTCGCATAATACGCGAAATGCTTCGGGAAAGCCTCAAAGTCATTGAACACGCCGACAGGGTTGTCAATGTGCATCAGCGTCGCGATGGGAGTGATGCCATACTCCAAGCACGTGTTGATCACATCGTCGTAGTGATCCAGTGCCTGCTGATTGACCGGAGAGTCCGCAACTCCGAAAGGAACAATACGGCTCCAGGAGATGGAGAAGGAGAAATATGGCACCCCCAACGCAGCGAGGCGCGCGATGTCCTGCTTGTATAGGAAGTAGTGCATGTCCGCGACGTTGGAGTCGTTGGTTCCCAGGGTGCCCTGGCCGTTGACACCGGTCGAGTCAAGCAGCGCAGGGCCACGGCCCTCGAGCTGAAGTCCTCCTTCAACTTGCCATGCGCTTGCTGCCACGCCCCAGACGAAGTTCTCGGGGAACTTGAGGCCTTCATTCTCGTTGAGAGGTCTAGCAGGTAGTTGCGGAGGGAAGACTAGGTCGCTGGAGGGAACGGGCGTGGGCGAAGCAGTGGTGGTGAAAGGTGGCTCGTGGGTATAAGTGTAGTTTGACCAGAGGGCTGCGTAGGCACTTTGACCGTACGTCCCATCGGGGCTGGCTGTTGCTGATGGATTGAAGAAATATGTCGTGTAAGTGACGTTGGTCGGTAAGAGGATCGAGGCTTCGGTGAAGTGAGGCGCGTAAGGTGTGGCGATGGTCAGAGGAGACGGCAGTGGTGTCGGGTATCGGTCTGAGGTCATCTGCTCGTAAGAGAAGGTGCTATAAGACCATGCCGAGGCTGCTATTGTCTGAGTTGCGAGAGAGCCGGCGGACTCAAGAGCAGCGGCCGACACCCCGGCGGCGAGGAGAGCCCCGGCGAGAAGTGCTGTCATCGCGGCGAAGTTGGTGCGAGGAACGACTTGGTAATGGCTGAGGACCGACCACAGCGCGCGCCATTTTGCTCTGTACGATTCACTCTCTACGTTATATACGAACTTCTGAATGACAACGGCATCCACTTCATTCTACCGAGTTGGTGTCCCGTGAGATGACCGGAAAACCCGACGTGGGATTGCTCATCTCCCCCGCCTCCACACTCCCCCGCACCGGGGAGCCATACCCCAGGTTGCATTAGTCGTCTAGCGAGCAAATGTACTGAGGCAGAACTGGTGATCTAGATTGAAATATTGGATTCGGGGGCGACGTTTGCCCCGGCCCGTATTTCGGCTCGGAAAGGCTTCAAGGAGCGGTGTTGTGGACACGGCTTTCAGCAGCCATTATCGCTCAAACGTAGAATGATAGAACCAGATATCGTGTCTCCAAATTTGATTAAGCACCATTCGTTCTTCATTTGTAAATGGATGCATTGCTGCCGACCTGAGTGTCTATGAATGTTTCTCTCCCGTCTGGCCCAGACCGCAGACGAGCACAGGCAAGTCGTATCTGGTCGTTGTGGTCTTTGCCCAGTACAGAAAAGTCCTGTTGGTCGGTGGGTGAGGTCGTCAATCGAACCGAACCGATGGCTCTCCACGCAAAACATCTCGATTGAGGCGAGCCCAACCGAAAATGAACAATTATTGATGAAAGAATCGGCCCTTTGGTGGATACCTAGACCGCACCCCACCCCGGAAAACCCTGGTACCCCCGAACCTAGGAGCCGGGCAAGTCTGCCGACGAGACTTGGTTATCCTGCTGGGTGCGCAAAACAGATTCGATTTTTCACTTTCGGCTTTGCAAACTGCGATGTGATAGCCAGCGCCGACTCATGAGATTGAAATTGCTGTTCGCCGTGGCTGCTTCGACCGCTTACGGCCTGCTCTCTGACTTTGGGCCTGCACGCTGGATCAGGCTCGCTGCGGCAAACACTCGCATCTGGAAACATCGGTGGTATCCAACGTGAAATTCGACCATATTATGTGTAATTGGCATTGTTTGTCACAACGGTAGGCTCCATGTTCGAAGGCCCAGCAAGATGACATCGGTATTGGACCTAGACCAGTCAAGAGGAAAGCGTGGCTGATGGCCTATTTCATAACGCTTCGAAGGCTCATTGCTGAATGAAAAGGTAGTATCGTGCGAGATCTGCCTGTATCAATGGGGTAAAGATGCAGTGATGCAGGCGCCACTTGTTAGGTCAGCTGTGATGGGTGATGATGGAAGACGTGGAGAACACCTAACACGAGGAAGAGAGATAGAACAGGTCAGGAATGGTAGCATGCATTGCTGTTACCCGTACACGATTGGAGCTAGATCATACACATCAGATATTGGAAGTGATGAAGAACACATGGGCAGATGACAATGCTGAACAGACAATTGCTGGTACGCATACCATGTGTATCAATGCTTGCATCGGAGCTGCCTCATAGTAGACCAGGTAGTTCATGATTGTTGGCACTTGACCGAAAAAGACATAGGAACTTGTTGCTGGGCGTTACCCAAAGGATTGCTTCTTCTGCTCTAAAATGTACACTTGCGCTCCCGTTCGTAACGTGATCTTTTTTTAATTCATCAGAGGTTTCACGGGTCAGCATCACCAGCCTGTCTCGCCTGTACTAATATTAGCATCATCCCCTAGTCATCTCTTCCTGAAAAACCTACCCGCACAGCTCCGGCACCACCAAGCTCTCTGTCCAGTCCACCGGGGAATTCTCTCGGGTAGGAAGGCTTGTCGGGGTAGTTCAGGTAGACGACACCGCAGACACCGAGGAAAGCGGTGATGAAAGCACCGATCTGGAAAAGACCACGGCCGGTGGTAGTCCATGTGTACTCGAAGGGGGAGAACATGCCGAGCAGATCATGGTCTTCGTGTACGGGCTCGCCGAAGTTGCGGCGCTCCTGCTTATCCCACCAATTGCCGTGGGGGTCGCGGAACTGGCGCTTGATGAAAGGAGGGTTAATGTAGCCGCCGTTCTGCAGGATGGAGCGTTAGCCATCGTCATCCGGATCGTTCTTTCTCACATCCTGTTGCAAATGCTGCCGCAAGCGCCATTGCCATTACAGGACCACCACTGACCATGTTGGGATCCTCCTTTTCGGAAAGCTTCGGGTACTCGGGGTACTTCTCCTCAAGAACGCTGCGGTCGTTGAAGGAGGGCGGGAAGAAGGATCGTTGCTGGACAATGGGAGTTCGGCGGGCTGCCTGAGCAGCACCGCGGATCGTCGAGACCCGCGCAATTCGTTGGGACAGCATCTGCATGGAGGCGCGCATGTTATTATGCGTCGTTCGGCGGAGTCAATTGGGCGTGGGGCATAACATACCGTGGCCGTGGTGGTAGTTACGACGCGGCCCAATTGCTTGATCTTGGATGTGATGTCGTCGCAGGTCACAACCGAAGCTTCA